GATAGATAGATGCATATATATATGTGTGTGTATCTAAGCTAGGCTGATCGAGAGGTTTGCCTACTACTTGGCAATTAGCAACTGGCGACAAATTGACGAGCTCGAAGTGCGGCAAATGCCACAAGAGCGAATACTTCGTCTGAGGACCACCTGCTGTGGCAATTTTGTGCGAAAATCTCTTCAGTTGTAGCTGCTGTTATGATTGGCTTGTGGCAATAATATTTGTGCCCAATCGACCTGCTCGCTACCTGTTGAGTTGTCGCGACGTTGGCTAATGAAGTCGCAACAGCTAAATGACTCAGTTCTCAGTTCTTGGCTAAATCCGTGCAGCGCCTAGAACTCAGCTCTGCCTCACAGCCAGCTCGTTAGCCGTGTCTAGACAGCGTCTGGGCCAGCCGGCGGCGCTGCATAATGCAAGGACGCACCACATGCCACATGCCACATACCACATAGATATTAGTCCTGCCATGTTGACAGGATATTCATACAACGCCCAGCTGCTCCCAATTAACACGCCAGCAGCTCACCAATAAACAACAAATTTAGGCGCATTCAAATTATGTGCTCGCAAATACCCTGTAAAATGTGAGGACTATGCAAATGAGTTATTTTGACTGCTAGAAGCAGTAGATAATATATTCCCAAAGACAATCAGATGTCAAACTACCCCACGTGTGAGAGAATTTAAGAAATTACAGGGTATTTATTCACCTCTTTTGCCAGTTCTGCGCCATTTTTTAATTACAGTTATAAGCATTGGCTATTTCAAAGACTTTCCTTGCTGCTAATACACTCACATGTCAAACTACCCCTTGAATACAGTAGCTAACAGGGTATTAAAACTCCGAAACCTCACGATATCATCAACAGTTCATGTATGTACACATCTGCACTAGTTAACAGGGTATTAAAAGCCCGGTGGCCCGGCGGCCCGGTGGTCCGCTGGCCGCAGTCATTGGCCGCCACTCGACACGCAGCGGCTGCAGCGCAACGGTAAAAATGCAATACAAATAACGGCAGCCGGCCAAAAAAAAAATGCTGCAGATGCAATGCAGGACGCAGGACGCGCTCAGGACCCTCTCGCTTACGTTTTCCCACTCAATTAGGGTAGCAAAAATAGTGAGAATCGAGGCGGCTGCGCACATTTGCCTAAATATATTTCCCTGCTCCCCGCCCTCCCTCCCTCCGCCAACCCTCAGCGACTGCAGAGCGAAAATGTTGTAGCATATGCCGCGGCGTGCGGCGCAGTTGTTATCCTTGCTGGCATTGTTAATCGTATCCTGCGTAATAGCATAATAATCCCTAATCGCATCTGATCTGTTCACCTGGTTGCCACACACTCATACTCGCGCGCTCGCTCTCTCTCTCTCTCTCTCTCTCTCTCTCTCTCTCACTCTGCCTGTCTCTTTCTGTGCGACGGCTGCACATTTTCATCGATATGCTTTGGCAGCTTTACAAATAGCGCGACGCGTCCTTTGTGCGTCTTTTGTCGCCGTCCTTTTTATAATAGGCAGGGGTTATTTTGACAGCAGTTCATTTGCCTTCTGCCTTCTGCAATGCCATTGACATTTGTCACACACACAGACACACAGCCAACTGCTCGCCTGATCCTCGGCATTTCAAACACTTGGAGTGAGCTCCGTTTCACAATGTGTCGACTTTTATTTGGCTTCCAGTCGCATTTGTTCCATGGTGCGGCTGCATTTCGTTTTCCAGCATGCTATTGTTGTTGCTGTTGTTCTTGTGGCTTCTGGGATAAATGGAGTTTGTTATTGGAATGAAGACGCCTGACTAATGCGCATTTACATTTAGGTAAATTAGCAGCTATTTAGTGGTTAGCTCATTAATCACAATATTCAGCTCAGTTTGTTTACATTTTCAATTCAATTTACATACGTTGATTCAGTTTACCTATTTTAATACAGTTTACCTATTTTAATACGGTATACATATAATACAGTTCTCTTTTCTTTTTGCTATTAATTACAATTGAAATTCGATTACAATACAGCAGCACTTTGTCAATGGTCCTTGATTAAACTGTTGATCAACTTCCAATTGAAAATAATAAAAAAAAAAAACAGCAATTGCTTACCAGCGAGGAAGCTTTTCAATGAGCAGCTTACTCAGCAGATGCTCCAACGCATACCAATGCGCACATTAGCGCAAGCGAAGCTAACTCTACACAGCGCCCTCTCTTCGTCTCGCTGCGTCCCGCTCTCGTGCTCACGCATTTGCGTAAACAAAGCAAAAAGGCCATTACAGTTGAAGTTCTCATTCCCACGCATTGCTGCTGATTGTTGGGTTTTTTTTTTGCGCAAACAGACAAAATAAACAAAAGCTCTACGAGTGCCGCTTATTGGAAGCGCTTTGACTGCTTGAATTAGTATTCAGTTACCATAACAACTAAAGGCCGGATGCGAGCGACAAGGCTATGGCGAAAAGTCGCCAAATGATACGCTGAATGCCTGTTGAGAAAGGAGAGAGGCGCACCAACACACACAAGCACACTCGCACCTATGTGTGAAGCTAAAAATAAGACAAAGAATGAAACAAAAACGAAATGAAACAAACGGCTAGCGCAGAAATTGTCGCGCCGAATTCATTAATGAGATTCGCGTATGCGACATGTCAACAAGCTAGAAAGGGACGGAGGCAGTGCGAGGGGGATGAGGAGAGGCGAGGCGGGGTTGTCACCCTTCAGGTTTTCTTTTTAATGGCCTAGACGCGGACACTGGTTGAGTGACGCGTATTGGATTTCGACATGCCATGCACGCGGCATGCGGCATGCATATCTGCAACGCCATCTAGCAAAGCCCCCGCCGATCCGCTCCTCCTTGCCAGACTCCCTGCTTCAGCTTCAGCTTCAGCTACAGCTTTGGCCTCAGCTCTAGGTCCACTGATTGACATGTGATCGCAACGCTTTGCATTGCAAGTTCTATTCCCCCAGCTTCCCCTCCCCGCACCACTTCCAGTCTGCTTCAACTCTTCGCTCAACCTGTTGCATCTGCTTGCGTCGTCGCTGCTCATTTGTCATTCATGCGAAACACTAAAGAGTCGTAAAGCAAGTCCTGCTTGCCGGGAAGAAGAAGCAGAAGAAAAAACTCTTGGCGAAGTCATAAAATTATGATCGGTATTTTTGCTGGAAATTTGAACTGTTTGTTGGCATGGTTATATTATTTTTTGCTAGCATTTTTTGTTTTTTTTTTTTTTTTTTGGCTTTTTGTTTTATAATTATTTGCAGTTTAGTTTTTCGACACGGTTTCTTGTGTATTTCATGCAACACCTTCGCTGCTTTACTTGGAAATTCGCGCGAAATTCCTCAGCGAAGATTACAGTTTCCTTCCAAGCGCTCCGCTTCCCTCCCCTCTCGCTGTGATTGGCGCTAATTTGACTTAATGAATATAATTTTGGAGAGAAATATGTCTCGCTCGCTCTTGTCTTAGTGAATGAATGCTGCGCTTCAATTAGCACTCGAAGTGCTCCACTGGAACGCAGACTATTTCCAGACGTGTCATTTTTCACAAACAGACCTCACTTTCAATGAACATTTCCCTCACATTTCCTCAATGGGCGGCAGTCTCAAATCCGCAGCTACATCTACATCTACATAAACATCCAAATACAAATCAAACACTCGACTGCCGTCGTTGTCGCCTTCGCCATCGTCGTCGTCGTTGTGGTTCGTGGTCTCGTGTAATATGATCGTGATTTCATGCCCAGCAGAAACCCTACAAGTTGTTCTACTATGTGGGAGAGGAGTCAAGAGCGGCAGGGCACTCACACACATACAAATACCAGAGAAAGATGAATGTATCTGGTCGCTGATACCATAAACCCAAATTAAGATAAGCCACGAAGAAAGAAAGAATATAACGTCTCATACTTTGAATCTTTTTCATTCACAAAATCACACAGCTAGTTCAGAGAGGGAGAGAGTTATTGCTACAGTCGCTGAGTGAAGCGTAGATCAAGAGAGTAAATGCATTGCAGCCGACCAATCGCAGCATAGTTGCGGAGGCTGGGGAAATTCTACAGAAGTTGTTACATCCACAATCTCCAATGTTGAGAGCTGTGGCATGTGAGTGGAAGCCAAGTGGACTCTACATAGTTGAGAGTTGACAGCTCAACTTTAAAGCTGAGATTTTGTGGAAGCTGGAGAAGTTGATGGTGGTCCACTCTACAAAAGACCTCAGAGGCTTAGACTTTTTGACTATTCATATTTCCACTTAACTTTGAATGAAGTATTTAACATTTTGTTTCTTTACTATATAAAATTATTTTATAGACTCATAAATTCAGCATCGAACATTTATTTATCCATCGCAATTCAATAACACCCACAAGGTAGCTCATTGCCCCTTTCAATTCGCATTAATAAACCACAGATTCCACTCTACATACCATATCCAGTTGCCAGTTGCCAATTGCTGCTGCTCTACAAGTCTCACCTCTACACTGATTTACCCCTCCAACATGAGAACCACAACTGAGATTATATTCAATTCGACACCGCATTACTCTCCACTGTTTGAGATCCTGTGGTCAGGCTCTACACAACATTGCCCCTTTTGCATTAACAAAAATTTTCCAACGCAGTTCTGGTGCTCTCTCACTCTCCCGCTCTGCGATAGGCGGAGCCATTTTGTTTGCGTTCGTGTAGCCGTTCGTATTTTTACTCTTCGTGAGGGCTGATTGCAGCGTTTGCTACAAGTATTTGTATTATTTAACTTTAAATACCCGTTGCATTTTATGTTTAATAACAAATAATATTTTATCAATATATTTTTATAAGTTAGCTAATGTCGATATATTTCCCCTTCTTACAGCGTGGAACGAGTTTTCTGTTGGCTCTGTTGGTGGTTGGTTGGTTGGTTTTGTTTGGTCAGAGAGAGAGCGGAGAGTGAGAGCGTGAGCGCGAACATCGTCTTCGTATCTGTTACACACGAAGCACTCGGCGCTCGGCTCTTGTACGGGTATAAAAGCCGCGCTCGGCTCGCTCTCACATCCAAATAGAAATTTATCGTGTCCGTTGATGGTTGTTGCTACTCCGCGCAAGAAAAAAAGAATAATAAAGAAATAAAATAAAATTAAGCTAAAGCTAAAGCAAACGCAAAATTGAGCAACACTCGACAACAAATGCAATAGAAAAACACGCTGGATTAAAGTGTTTTGTTTTGTTGATCAAAGTCAAATGCAAATGCAACAACAGGGCAAAAAGTGCGTGTAAAGTGAAATAGCAAAAAATTAAAAAAAAAATCAAAGTCAAACAAAACTCGCAGCGAAACCAAAACACATCAAAGTTGAACCTTGAAAGCAGTTAACTTCGATTTATTGAAACCTCGCAAGTAACCGGTACGACCGTGTAAAAAGCCGCCAAAATTCTACTCAAGGAGCGTAAAGCGATCATCTCGAAAATGAAGTCCTTGACGGCCGTTTGTCAAACAGGTGCCTCGATGCCGGCGATGAATCCGAATGGCCGCATCGCGCGCCATCCGCCGCATCGAGGTGACGGCGAGAATGCCGAAATGAAGATGTATCTCTCCAAGCTGAAAGATCTGGTGCCGTTCATGCCCAAGAACCGCAAACTCTCCAAACTGGAAATCATCCAGCACGTCATCGACTACATCTGCGATTTGCAAACGGAGCTGGAGACCCATCCGGAGATCAATAATTTCGATGCAGCTGCCGCGCTGAGTGGCGTTGCCGCGGCAGCAGCTGCCGGGGGTTCCGAAGATGAGGACGAGGAAGAGAGCGATGAGATGGATCTCGATGCAGCCGGCGATGTATTGTCCCTGCGCCTGGCTGCCGAGCAGGAGCAGCTAGCCAAAATCTCTAGTCCCGCTGCCGTCCGCCTGCCGCTCGCCGATCGTCAGAGTCCCAACGCAATTCTGCCAGCAGCAGCAGCACCAACAACGCTAGCGTCAGCAGCAGCAGCAGCAACGGCGCCACTGCAGCAGCAGCAGCAGCTGCCCAACAGTTTAGCGACGGTAAGTCAAGAGCCCTCGCCTCTACCCACCCACAATATTGTTTTTGATTTGCATTTGCATTGCAAATGAAACGTTGCCGCTTTGACGTCGTCCCAAAAAAAAAGAAAAATTAAAACATCGAAAAAAATTACACATGCAAGCGAATTAAGCAAGCGGCGATAGCGCGACGTTTTTGCATTGTTGTTTTTGTGACCTCATTTGCTGTTAAGCAGCGTAAGGACGTTTCGTCTGTCCGTCTGTTTGTTCGTTTGTCGGCATTTACAATTCTCGCCTTAAAAATATAATTCATTTCATTTGCATGTGTGCGTGTGTGTGAAATTTACATTTTTTTCGCCTTGCTTTCTTTTCGCTACAACAACAAAAACAACAATAATAAATCTCGCACAATTTCATTTTGTTTTTGTAGACATTTCACATATTTTTCGCTGTCGCCGTTTCTTTCTTTCTTTTGTTGTAGCTGCGGCCGCGACTGCGGCGTAGCTGTTAATTTTGTTTTTTTTTCTCGCGGCCTTTTTTGTCTTCCTCTCTTCTTCCATTTTGTTGCTGTCTGTGATGTTTTAAATGAACACCTGCAGATACTTAAATTTATTTCATATGTGTGTATGTGTGTTTGTAAGCAACTACACACACAGTCAGACGCACAGAGGCTAACGCAGATTTAAGCTTGACGTCGACATTTGGAGAATTGGAGAATCATCAGTCAGCCTCCGTTTCAGTTATTTCTGTCTGTCTGTCTGCGCCTTCTTCTTCTTCTTGCTGTAGTTGTAGTTGCTGTTGCTGTTACTTTGTTGCTTACTTCATTAGCGCAAGTTTTTGGCTTTTCCCATTGCCTCCCGCTGCAGTTTTTGCGTCGATAATAAATGATGTTAGCAAAAAAATAAATAAAAAATATAAAAGTATACAAAATAATACAAAAATGGTACAACAGGTTATGAATATGATGTATTTATTCGTACATGTATTTCTTCACAATTCGTGCTCAAACAATTCCAATAAAACTTCCAATCTTTATCCGCTCTCTCTCTTTCTCGCTTCTTTGGTGGTATTTGTTTTTGTGCAGTTGATTAATTATGCATTTGCATCTTTTTGTTCGTTTAGAAAAAGTATTTAAAAAACCACAGCACAATTAGTCGGTCATTCAGGCCTTATGAACGGCTGTGTTGCTCTTGCAAATAGAAAAAAAAAAACAAGCAAGCAAAACATCTGCACTGAGATTGAGACACGCTGCCCACGCCTCAGACTCTCCCCTTCTCTCGCCCTTCCTGCCCAGCCTTCCCACGACTATTGCTGCGTATGTGTGTGTATTATGATGTGTCACTCTGGCCGCAAAACAACAAATTCCTTCGTTAAGGCACAGCAGTGGCAAAAAAAAGCATTCACACACGCACACACTTATGTATGTACATTCATATGCGCATATGTATGTACATATGTATAAGACGTAAGAAGAAATGCACGTGTTCAAAATGTTCTCGTTACGTAGTTGTTGTTGTTGCTATTGCTGTGTTGCTTTGCTGTTGCTGTTCTTTTTTTGTACTTTTTCGCGCCGCGCAGCTGTGCGCCAGTCGCCAGTCGGTCGCTTTCTACATTGTCCGCACCCCTGACGCTACCCTACCTCTTTCTCTACCTCTCTCTACTTCTCGCTGCCGACAAAGCTCTGCGGTCAGTCAACATAACAGGCAGTGACATTAGAAGACGCAACAACAACAACTTCTCCTAGAAGCTCATTTGATTTTCTTAGTTTTGCGCTGGCGCTCTGTTGGCGCCTCTTCTTTGGCCCTTCTCCTGATTCGTCTCTCTGTCAGCGAATGAAAATAAAAATAAATAATAAAAAAACAACAACAAAATGCACACGAAGCTCAAGCGTTTCGTAAACAAACGAGACAAGTAAAAAAGAAAGAAGAAGATCTGTAAAATAAAGAACGAAAACAACGGCAAATTAATTGATAATTCGTGATTTGTTGTGCAAGTCAGGCATACACTTATACTAAGACTTTCGCCTCAAGCTTTACATGCATACGCTTATACAAAGCACTTATACTTGAGACTTCGCCTCAAAATCACATGCAACCACTTCTTACAGAAAATACATTTATATTTAGACCTCGCTTGCATACGCATATACTACTTACAGTTAAACTTAGATTTTGCCTTAAGCTTCACATACCCTTATACAAAACACTTATATTTTTCGATTTTGACTAATTTCTCGCTCTCTCTCGCTTACTCTCATTGCAGCAATTCAGCGGCGAAAAGGACAGCAGGCAATCGTAAAGCAGCTGCCAGCAGCGGAAGCAGCAGCAGCAACAACTACAACTAAAACTAAACATTTAAAGCTATAGAAATCATATTAATTAATGTTAGTCGCAGTGTAGTACAGTCAACTCCACTCAAAACTCAACTCCACTCAAATACCAACTCGTGTGAAGATCTCCACAATAACAAACAAACAATAATAACAAATGAAATAATGATATATACAAATACATAGACACTGCAGCCACACACCCATATACATACGCACACACATAAAGGGCATGTGGCTGTAAAAGCATTTCACACCAATACATTGAATGAGTTTAGTTATTAAAAACAAAACAAAACAAAAAGAAAACCTAAATAGCATTAAAAACAAAATGTAAGCACTAATACATTATTATTATTAACATTTAACGTTTAACATTTAACTATTAGCAGCAGTTAAGAAGTAGAAGAAGCAGAGGTAGCAGATGAAGAAGAAGAAAAAAACTTGGCAAAGCTTTAAACAATTTAATTTTTCCTTTGATAAAATGAAATGAAAAACTGAATAATTTTTGTTTTCTATATATTTAGTTTTTGGTTTAATTGAAGAAAAAAACATGTTAGTAATTTTACGAATGATGATAAAATGCAAAGCAAAAAAAAACGAAACAAAAAATAAAAAAAAAGAACAGAACCGCAATAAAAAGAAAAACTAAACAATAAAGCAAAAATTTTTCATTCTCATTTTCATTTAAATATTTTCCTATTAATTTTAAATATATAACAGAAGCAAACTAGAAATTTTTATCCTATTATCGTTTCATTTATTTATACACACATACATGGAAAAAACCTCAAGGAACAATTTTCTTATCATTTAGTTTAAGCGACAGCAAAAAAGTTTTCCTCCTTTTTAACTCTTGAATAATAATAATAATAATAATATTAATAAATATATAAATATATTTATGTTCTGTGATCTGTAGCATACTTTGTACAAAGTGTTTTTTATTTAGCATAATTATGCGTTTTAAAATATGATATATATTTTCGAAAATAATAATTAAAAATAAAAGCCACAAAATTTTCATTAATTTTTGTTTATTTGTAATTTTCCAATCGGGTATATCACATTGTCCCACACACATGATGCAAGAAAAAAGAATGCAAAAAATAAAAATTCAAAAATTAAAAATAAAAAATCAAATTATAGATATTACAAAATAAATTACATAAAAATACTATTCAAAATGCGATTTGTTTGATTTTTCGTAACGGATTGTTCTCAGAAAACTGCAGTTATTGGCTACCTGGCCAGCGAAATTACGTGGAAAGCAAACGGCGGCTGGCTTAACGATGTGAAAACCCAATTCCCATGTAAACAAGTGCAACGTAACAACTACCGTTAGGGTAGCACACACGTATAGATAATGCGCTCGAACGAGTTTTCTCACGCATTGTCATTGTCTCCGCTGCCGCCGCTGCTGCTGCCCATTAAGGGTTTTCCAGCCACAGCCTCAGGTAGACGCCCAACTGCAGTTGCACGTGTGCAAAAAAAATTATATATAACAAAATTCTCTTTCGAGAAATTTTTCGAATTTTGGGTTTTTACCCACAGCTGAGGCAGAGGCTGAGGCCGAGACTGCAGCTGCGTCACAGTTGCTGACGTCGCTGCCAGCGTCGCCGTCACCTATTAGCGTTAATGATTGCAGCTTACAAAGCAATTGACCAATTGCCTTGGGGGCTGCGACTGGAGACTGAGACTGAGACTGAGAGTGGGGCCACTCGGTGCCAGTCGCCCCATTCAAATGTCAGTTTGGCTGCCCGCAAACCAAATCAAACTGCAGCTGCCAACTGCCACTGCACGACTTACGGTTACCCTGTACTCTACAGTATAACTATAGAAAATGGCTAAAAGCATCCGGTATAAGACTGGACTCTTATACAATTTTTATATAGAATCAATTAGGGCTTCAAATCTGAGAAGGTTCTAGAAGCCCTAAAATTTGACATATATTCTACAACAGATTCACATTTAGTTACTTATATTTATAGGCATACCCATTCGACGCATTACAGGGTATCTCTACGCTTTTGTTTCACATGCATTGTGTGCTTTGTTTCCCCCACATTGTGGTGCGTTCTCTCTGGTATGCGCTAATTGTTTTTTTGTGCATTCTGCAATGGCAACACAAAGCTCAAGCTCAAGCTTGAGCTCGAGCTTGGAACAGCTTCCAATGGCTTCCAATCGACATGTCTCTGGAACGCTTTGGCTTAGCAAGCGATTACGGCAGCAACTGTAGCTCCAGCTCGAGCTCGAGACGTTTGGCAATTAGCGCGCCTAGCTCGATTTTCACCCATTTGCCGCTGTGGTTTATTATGTTTTTGTTTTTTTTTTGGGTGCGACATGGAACGTGAAATCAGTGAAACTTGAATTACCATAAAAACTCGTGTAACAGTCAACAGCTGCGACTGCGCAGCCGGCGAAAAACGAAAAGGAAAAAAACCAACAACAATTTTTGACATAATAATTGTCAAGCTGACATTTCGAACAGCGCAGCTGACAGCTGAGCCGAGCCGAACGTGTAGCAGCATAGCCGAAGTCGAAAAGCCGAAGCTGCCAAATGGGAAAGCTGAGCCGAAGGCGGCAGCCGAAGCGGCTGCCAGCGACGTCTTTGTAGGTGCGCATAAAAATTGCATTTAATTGTGATTTTCACACGAAACACAAAGCGCATGAGCAACTGGCGCCAGTTGCTGGGGCCGAGCAGCAAGGCGAGCGGCAATTTGTGCAACTAGCGGTAAAGCGTAACTACTAAACAGCGCGAGACAGCAAAACACACACACACACATAGAAAGAGACATAGACGTAGACGTAAATGGAAGGGGTTCGGGCAGAAGCTGAAGTCGAAGTCGAGCCGAGTCCAAGTTGGAAGTCGCTGCTGCTGCCGTTGTTGGTGGTGGCTTTTGGGAAACACCTGCAAAACGCAAACGCACCTGTTTTGCTAAGCAGCAGCAAAAAACTAAAACAAAGTCAGACACCAACGCCAGCAACAACAACAACAACAACAACAACGCGGACACGGCTCGGCAACTTTCGTGGGTTTTCAGCTGCAGCGCGATGGAATGAGTTCGCCGGACGGCGACGGCGACGGAGACTGGGAGGGGGCGGGGGACAGGTTCCAGCTGGAACTCTGCATGACTTTGTGTAATTGAAGCAGCCGCAGCAGCGAGCTGAGTTTTTAGCTTTGACTTTCTTGGCTGTGTTAGGAAATCGAAACCGAAGCGTAGCCAAAAAGGGGTGGCCAGGGCGGCGGGCCGACTAACACCAGGTGAAACCGCAAGGCAGCGCAGATGGGGCGGCTTTTAGTCAGGTGCAAGTGCACATGTTGCACATATATGGACATATGTAGCTATCTATGTGCGTGGTCTGTGCATCGGAAGCGGCAACATCAGCTGGCGGAAGCTTTCGAGCAGCAGCTGTCGCGCTCAGCTTGCCGCAAGCAGCAAATGGGCGCCGCTTGCCCCGCCTCCCATTTTGCCATATGCCATGTGTGGCAATTGGTCAGCGCATTGATTTCAGCTGCGTCACCTTCTTTTGTGGCAACAGCCACACATGTTGGCCTAATGACAGCAGCAGCGGCCCTCTGTCTTCCAGCTCTCAGCTTTCAGCTTCCAGCTTCCAGTGGAACAATGACAACGCCAACAACAACAACAGCAGCAACAACAATTGCGAGGTGCGGCGGCAACAGTTGCATTTGCAACGGCGACTCAGACATTTGATCGAAAGCCAGCCGCTGCTGCGGAAGCACATACTTCACACTAGAGACTGTGCTGTGTGGCATGCCACATGTTGCCGTCGCCTTCACCGTTGTCGTTGCCAAAAGGCGCTGATTAAGATCGCTTGCAGCGGCTGCTGTCTGCCAACACTTCACATGCCAAATGAAAATGAAAACTGAAAAGCCGTAAAAAGATAAAAGATTGAAAAATTGTATCTTAAACTTTGAGAATTGTATCTTAAGTGTCTGGAAGATACACGAGAACTCACAATGTATCTAAGTCTTATGAAATGTATCTTTGGTATTAAATGAAAAGTTTACATTGTATCTATGCTATGTTAAATGTATCTTAAATAAGAAAAGATACATTTGGACTGTATGCAAGCTATGTTGAATGTATCTGAAGCATAATAAGGGAAGTTTGCATAGTCTCTTAGCTGTGTCAAATGTATCTTTAGTTGCGAGTGAAAAATGTGCAGAAAAGAAGGGAGAGAGAGAGAGAGAGAGAGTGAGAAATATATAAGTTATAGTAAATGTATCTCAAACATTAATATTGTATCTAAGCTATATTAAACGTACCTTGAGCATCATCATGACAGCGTCAATCGCACTTAGTGTCTCCAAAATAATGTATCTTAGCATTATGAAGACATTTTGTATATTCGTTAAGATTTTTCATTGTTAAAGTCTGCTGGAAATATTTTATTTTTAGGAATATTGGAAGAATTCATAGAAAATGTTCTCCTAATGGAACTATAACTCAAATTTGGGATTGAAGTAACTAGTAATATCTATTTATATGTATCTATTTTTGTGAGTTTTAACGAATATCTAATTGTATCTTATCTAAAAGTATATATTTATATATGAGTATCTATCTAGCTAAGCGTATATCTCTGTATATCAGACCTTCTGTCTGGCTGTTCCTCTGTCTTTCTGTCTTTCTATTTATCCATACATCTATCTATCTATCTATCTATATATCTATATATATATCTATCTATACATCAATCTATTATCTATTATCTATCTATCTATCTATTATCTATATGCATCTATCTATCTAACTAAACATCTATCTGTCTATCTATACATGTATATCTATTTATCGATATTTCTATAGCTATCTATAACTATCTATCTATCTACTATAGCCCGTATCTATACACATTCTTTATCTACAAGCATCTACTTACCTGTCACAGCCAGATAAACGCGGTCTAGCTCTCCATTTTGATATGCAGCCCTTCATCCATCGACACTTGGCCACTCTTTGCAGGTAAATCTCTGATCGTAATGCCACATTGTTGCTTTTTTGATGGGTTAATTGCATTATAAATCACGCAAGATATCCAGATACTTAATCTTGCAGCTAATAATTGCTCAAAATATGCAAAATAAAAGTCAACTTCATTAAAGCCCATAAAAATATGCGCAATAAATTGCCAAAAAGCGTTAAATAAATTATCAAAAAAAAATAAATAAAAAATGTAAATAAGATGAAAAACGGAAAATGCAAAAAATTGAATATTATGCAGCAGAGCGCAAATATTTATACAAGCTGCCAATTGCTAGTTGCCAATTGCCAGTTGCCAGTTGCGAGTTTTTTCCTCGAGGTTT